ATAGAGGTTATATCAGCTTTCCTTTTTTTTTTTTTTTTTTAAAGAGGAAGTAACCCTAAAATAAACAGCAATGGAAGCACATTGAACAGTGTGGTACGCCAATGCAAGGCAGGTGTTCTGTCTGAGAGAATGGGTGGGAGCGTGGGCTCAGAGGTCAGACAGCCTGGGTCCAATTCCAGCGCTTCTCCTGACACGCCTGAATGAACTTAAGCAGGGTATACAAGTGTTCTCATCCATTATTTGAAGATGATAACAATTTGTCTATGTAGGTTTGCTGTGAGGATTAAAGGAGTTAATACACACTGTATCTGGCTTTCATCTGTTTTTCAAATAGATATTGTCCAGACTTGGAAAGTTGTACAGATGTATCCAAATAAAATTAGATCAGACAAAGATGAAATGCATCGCTTGTCCCTGTGGCCACAATTCTTAGACTAGAGGCAGTGGCAGCGCATAAGTGTCCAAGAGAAGGAAGTTTGCGACTTGATTATAAGACACAAGCATTCATTAAATCATTTTCCGGGCATGTTCTAAGTGGCAGGTGCTGAGTGTGTAAAAATAAATCAGAGGGAGTAGCTGTCTTCTAGGAGCTCACAAGGAAGTGGGGCAGGGCAGGACAGTCATGGGAGAAGGTTTTGTGGATTCTTGGATAGACGTGAAAACTAGCTGAGCACAGAGATGGAGGTGAGCACAGGAGAGACACTGCACTGACCTGGTGAGCGCTGAGATGGAGGTTCGAGCAGGTGCTCAGCAGGTCTAGGAGAAACTGAGACTGACTGCCCAGGCTAGGATCAGGATGCGTCATGCTCTTGAGTTGAATCTTGTGGAGTGAAGAGGAGTTTTCCAAGAGGAAGCCACAGAGAAAGATACCACTGAACCGCCCTGTGGACAGTTGTTGCCACTTGGTTTTCCAGCTGGGCGCGTGCTGGGGTTTGAGTTACTTCCAGGCTCTTGGGTCTGTTTGCCCTCTCCTGTGCGAAAAGTAGTTCTCCTGGGCCTTTCCTGGGCAAAATGTTCAGAGAGGTTTAGAGCTATACTGTCCAGCTATGGTAGCCCCAAAACACATGTGGCTTTTCACATCAAAATGAATCACAAATAAGAGGTGCATCCCTCAGCTGCACTAGCCCCATTTCAGTGCTCAGTAGCACATGTGGCAATATTTTCATTATCGCAGAAAGTTCTAGGGGGAGCCTTGACATCACACAGAGAGAGGAGTGGGACCTCCTCCAGCTGTGACGGATCCCTATGCTGGTGCTGGTGTGCAGGCTTTCAGGAATTTCAGTTCCTGCTCTGCCTCGGGCTCTTCAGGGCCAGATGCTGCCCATCAGACCTCACATAGTAACATCTGCTTTCTTCTGGGCTACCAGAGTTCTGCCAGTCCCTGCCTGGATTCAGCTCTATAATCTACAGACTGCTATCCGGGTGAAAATCTGGTTCATTGAACTGATGGACTAGAATATTCTAGCCTGGGCAACATAGTGAAACTCCATCTCTACAAAAACTTGGCCAGGTGTGGTGGCATGGGCCTATCCAGGAGGTCAAGGCTGCAGTGAGCCACGATCATGCCACTGCACTCCAGCCTGGGCCATGGAGTAAGATCCTGTCTTAAAAAAAATTCTTTATTTACCCTTTTCACTTGCACAGAAATCCTGTGACCTCAGATTTGATTCTTTTAAGATGAGTGGAGACAGCAGGTGAGAGGGAAGCGGCACCAATGTGTCGTGGCCTTTAGGGGCTGGAGTGAAGGCCCCTGCTTCAGAATTCTTAGAGTTGTGCAAGGGGCAACTCAGAGGATAAGCACTATTAAAAGGTGAACTGAGGCCAGGCACAGTGGCTCAGCCCTATTATCTCAGCAGTTTGGGAGGCTAAGGTGGGCAGATCATTTGAGGCCAGGAGTTTGAGACCAGCCTGGCCGATATGGTAAAACCCTATCTATCTCTACTAAAAATACAAAAATTAGCTAGGCATGGTGGTGGGCACCTGTAATCCCAGCTTCTCTTCTCAGGAGGCTGAGGCATGAGAATTGCTTGAACCCAGGAGTCGGAGGTTGCAGTGAGCCCAGGTTGTGCCACTGTACGGCAGCTTGAGTGACAGAATGAGACTGTTTAAAAAAAGAGAGAAAACGTTGATTGAGTTTGCAGTGATCAATATCTAACAAACACTGGATTTTGATTTTGTGCTCAAGAATTCCCTATCCCAGCAGATACAGGTCATAGCTTGGCATTGATTACAGCCAGGGCACCGCAAATGCACATGCTGCCCCTTGATGGGTTCATGACAAATTGTACAGTGACCTATGTATTTAGCTCTTCCAAGCCAGTTTGCTGTTCAGGAATAGTACTCCTCTTATAAAGCAAAAAAAAAAAGCAAAGACAGAAACTACCTCTTGCATCAATCAAAGCCTTATCTCCAGGGCACTTCCCTTTTGAACCTACCCTCTGTCCCATGGTGTACAAGGAGTCTCCACGATGATCTATGCTTTGCCACAAACACATTTGATTGTGACCTGGTGTCCCAGGAGATTACATGGTGCTAAGATCTGTGTATAAAGCTAAGAGGCTTTTGGAAAGTTTGAGTTATAGTAACTCTAGGACCTGATCTTAAAATGAATTTGACCTTAGTTATCCCAGGTTTGGTTATAATTTTCCAGAATAGCTTTTATTTTAGGAATCCAGATTTATCTGGGTAACTTCCAGATGTCATAAATTATAACATCTGCCCCAACTGTTGAAACAGCCTGGAATTTCACAGTGAGCCAGCAGTCTAGGAGGAGGGAGAAATCTTTTTCCAGAATGCTGCTGCTTCTCCAAACTTGTTACCTTGTTTCTCAAAGGGACTTTTCAGGGTCATTGAAAAACATCCCTGGGTTTCAGAGTCAGTCTTATACAGTGTCTTTAGAGACTTCTCCTGTGCAGTCCCTCCATGGGCTGGTACCTGGCGCCTTGTTTCAACGTATGGTTGTCATTTGTAATTTATCAGTGGGACCAGGGATGCTTAGGAAGGGAACATAGAGAAACAGAAGCAGCCGGCCTGTATCTATTGGAACTTCGATAGCCATGATTTGAGTACCGAATGTGGATAGCGGAGCATCTGAACCAAGAGGCTCAGTCAATGTCCATGGTGCCTGCAGTGTCTGGTGGTCTGTCTCAGTGGGGAAGGGGTGGAAAAGCAACTGGACATAATGTGTGCGACGCACATACATGAGTCATCTGCTGGGAATGAGTGTAATAGAGCCGCAGCCCCTAGGAGCAAGGCCATGGTCTGTTTCAGGGACACTGACTATCTGCAAGTGGGGGAGGCTGTCAGGCCTTTTCACCTACTCCCAGCTCTTACCTGCAGGTCTCACAGTCGCTCGACCTTCATACACCAGGACTGTGCAGTAGGGCACCTGGGGTCTGTGTCCTCCTAAATCGGAAACAGGAAAAGAGGCAGTAGAAGGGCTGGTTGGTTGATCTCGGCTAAGAGAAAACCAACAATTTTTATTTCTTAATTTTTAAAATTGTTCTGTAGGTTCTGGGGCATGTGCAGATCATGCAGGGTTGTTGCATAGGTACTTACGTGACAAGGTGGTTTGCTGCTTTCACCCACCCCCGTCACCTCTCTGGCATTTCTCCCCATGTTATCCCTCCCCCAACAGACCCCAGTGTGTGATGCTCCCCTCCTTGTGTCCATGTGTTCTCATTGTTCAACACCTGCCTATGAGTGAGAACATGTGGTATTTGATTATAAAATCCTCCTCTCATTAAAGGTCTGTTTACAGAAAAGAGAATAGAAATGGTTTTATTTTATTTTACTCTGGAGCCAGTTCACTTCTCAATTAACTGTATTAACAAGGACAAAGGGCTGTGGTGGCCCCTTACCTTTCCATGAGGTGGTTCTGTTACTGTTTTGTTTTCCTAATAATAAGGTACTGAGTATCAACAGGGAGCCAATTGTGGAACAAGAGAAGGCGAGAGCTTTGTCTGCCGAAATGAAAAAGGGCACACGTAGAACGCTGTTCCTCCCTCACAGATCACAGCTCACTGAATAATTCATTGGCTTCTCCCTCTTTCCAAGACGTGTTTCTGCTCTTTCTATGAGTTTTACAGCATTATCTATTCATAGATGAATTACGATGGGAATAAAAAATTTAGAACATGAGTCAGACCTCATGAGTTTGGACTAATTGGGGAAAACGCTGGTCTGGAGTAAGAGTGAATTCATGAGGCATCTAAGCTGTATCTCTATATAACTTAATATATGCATATAAAGACATGTATATGAAGACACACACATACATATATAGTTTTATTCCTTTAAATGCTAGTGTAGTATCATTTAGCAGTAGCTACAGTCTAAGGTACTTTATAGAACTGAATCTGACTCGGCTCTGTCACTAAATTGCTGAACCTCCCACACCAGGGAGTCTCAACTTCAGCACTACTGATATTTGGGGCTGGACAATTCTTTGTAGTATGGGGCTGTTCTGTGTATCACAGGCTGTTTAGCAGCATCCCTGGCCTCTATCCATTAAATGCTAGTAGCATTCCCCCCGCCATGACAACCAAAGATGCCTTTCAGACACTGTCCTGGTTGACAACCACTGTCCTCAACCAAGTTAAATCACTCCCAGGGCCACTGAGTCCTTGTTGGTAAACTAAGGTGGCCTAGGGAGAGTCTCTTTAAATCCCCTCCCAGATCTAACACTCCAAGGATAGCCATCAAGGTGTCCTGCTAGACCCTCATAAACCCTCTAACACCTGTGTTGCTATAAATGGGTATATGAGTGGAAAATATTCTTAAGGTTGACACTTAAGCTCTCACATATACAGTTTGCCTCTATAACCTATTCTTGTCTCATTAGCAAATACCAGAAGAACATTTAACCGTATTCCTAAGAAGCCCAACTTGTTGTGTATTATTTAGGTGTCACTGACTCTTTATCCATGCAGCTGGATTTAACAGAGGAGACTTTGGGTAATGAGTTGGCTGAAATACCTGCCTTTTTTGCTTTGCCACAGGAATTCTCACACTCAAGAAAGCAAATGAACTACTTCTGAGCACAGGTGTGCCCGGCAGTTTCCTCATCCGAGTCAGTGAAAGGATCAAAGGCTACGCCCTGTCCTATCTGTCGGAGGACGGCTGTAAACATTTCCTCATAGATGCCTCTGCAGACTCCTACAGCTTCCTGGGTGTGGACCAGCTGCAGCATGCCACCCTGGCAGATTTGGTGGAATATCACAAGGTAACGATGCCTAACCTCACTTTGCCTTGTGAGTTACTGTCTTGTAGCGGCTCTAACAATGAAAGACAATTACGAGGAAAAGGACCAGGACAAGTGCTGCGGGGATTGTTCTGGTTAATTCTTCCTGATAATCGGGATTTTTAATTGTAATAATTCCTTTATAATAGAAACTAGTGCCTCTTTAAATACTCAGGGAACACCACTGGGGCAGAGAATACAAGAGATGCTTTAAAAAAAAAAAAAAAAAACGGTACCCACAGGGATCACATATGACAACAGTCCCGACCTTTTCGACACCAGGGACCAGTTTCCTGGAAGAAAATTTCTCCGTGGACTGGGGGTTGGGGGGTATGGTTTCAGGATTATTTAAGCACATTATATGTATTGTGCATTTTGTTTCTATTATTATTACATTGTGATATATAATGAAGTAATTATACAGCTCAACATGGTGTATCATCAGTGGGAGCCCCAAGTTTGTTTTCCTGCAACTAGACGGTCCCAACTGGGGGTGATGGGAGACAGTGACAGATCATCAGGTACTAGATTCTCAAAAGAAGCACACAAGCTAGATCCCTCACATGCACAGTTCACAATAAATTTTGTGTTCCTATGAGAATCTAATGCCACTGATGGGACAGGAGGCAGAACTCGGGCAGTAATGTAAACAACAGGGAGAAGATAGAAATACAGATGAAGCTTTGTTCACCTACTGCTCACCTCCTGCTATCCCAGTTCCTAACAGACCACAGACTGGTACTGGTCCGTGGCCCTGGGACTGGGGACCCCTGACATATGAGCACAGTCTTAAGTTAGAACTCAAGCCCTAGAGGGAAAGAGAGTACCTGGCAGTGTGTGGATAAGAAAAATGCCTCTTTGGGCAGATCACCTGAGGTCAGAAGTTCAAGATAAGCCTGGCCAACATGGTGAAACCCTGTCTCCACTAAAAATACAAAAAAAAAAAAAAAATGACCCAGGCATGGTGGCAGGCACCTGTAATCCCAGCCACTTGGGAGGCTGAGGCATGAGAATCCCTTGAATCTGGGAGGCAGAGGTTGCAGTAAGCCAAGATGGCACCATTGCACTCTATCCTGGGCAACAAGAAGGAAACTCCACCTCAAAAAAAGAATAAATGCCTCTTAAGATGATCACAAACCATGAAAGCTTTGTGTAAGTCAAGGGTAGGCAGGTGCTAACGTCCTCTGAGGAATTAGGAAGAGCGCCTGGTTGCTACTCACACTGTCTGATACTGTCCCTTCTGATTGACAGGAAGAACCCATCACTTCCCTGGGGAAGGAGCTGCTCCTCTATCCCTGTGGTCAGCAGGACCAGCTGCCTGACTACCTAGAGCTGTTTGAGTGACAGCCTTTACTGGGGTCATCCTCATTCTCCAGCTGGGCTTTCCCCTGAACAAACACCACTAAAACATTTATGTGTGAAGCCAAAATCACCGTGTAGCAGAGCCAATACTGATCAACCAGAAGTATCCATGGAGTCCTCATTGACACCTCTCTCCTGCACAAATACTGGAGTTCAATGTCAAGAGAAAATGACCTCTGCTCCTATGCACTCTAAAAGTAAAGGGAGAAAAGTCCCAATTTTAGCAACTACCGATTATGAAGGGTATGACCTTAAGAAATAGAAAACTTTTAGAAATTAAGATATACTTGAAAACCAGTATGTTTCTGTGCTATCATAATACCACTGCACTCCCTCTATCATCTGGAGGTCTTAGGGGCCTGTTGATACAAAGTTCCATGTTGGCTTTGAAATGCTGGCAAAAAAGCCTGTCCTGGCTGAGATGATGCTTGAAACACACCTCACTTATTGTACATGTTGGAACCAGGACACGAGAGACATAGAAAAACAGAAGTCATGAATGTAAATGGAGTGAGAAGTTTTAAAACATAGGATGAGAAGCTTAACATACATAAAGATACATATGGACTGCAGGAAAGTGAGCAAATGTCCCTGAGTTTGTTTCCTTGTTCTGGAGAATGGGGCCAGGGCTTCCCTGGCCTCCTCTGGCTCTACTCCAGAGCACACCAAATGGATAAAGCACCTGCACATGTATTTTTTTTTATAAATAGTATATAGGCAAGAACAGAATAAGCAGGCTGTTTGGATGCTACTTGCGGTTGAACTGTGTTCCCTCAAAATATTGGTGAAGTCTTAACACCCCATTCCCATGAAATTGATCTTGTTTGGAAATAAATAGGGTCTTTACAGACACAGTCAAGCTAAGATGAGGTCACACTGGATTAGGGCATGCCCTAATTCCCATGACTTGCATCCTCAGGAGAAGAGAGAGGTTTAGAAATAAAGGAAAATGCAACGGGATGACAAACAGGGGACAAGAGGCAGATTGGAGTGATGCAGCCACAAGGGAAGGGACACCAGCAGAAGCTAGGGGAGAGGAATAGGACAGGTTTTCCCCAGAGCCTTAGAAGGAAGCATGGCCCTGATTTCAGAATTCCAGCCTTCACAACTGGGACAATAAATTTCTGTCACTTTAATCTACTGAGTTCATGATGATTTGTTACTGCAGCCCCAGAAAGCTAATACAGTCGTTTACGTAACTATGTAACCTGACACGCAAGATTGACCCATTCACTGCTGTCCCCTCCACCATTCTCATAATGAAGTAGAAATGGGATATAAGAAAAACCTTCCAGCCAGTTCTGTTTAGCCCTGGGTCACCTATTTCTCCAATCAGGAATCATATGCCCTGCTGCACCCCAACCTGCCACCTCCCTTGGTCCAGCCCCAATCAGGGGGACAGCCTCTGAGCCACCGGAGATCATTTTTCTGGGAGGATGGAGATTGACTAATACCTCTGGCCTAACTCTGTAGGTCAGCACTCTTTTACATTGCCTTTTAATGAAAGCAGAACGATATAGCAGTGTGATTATGAGCTTGTTCGTTGCGTACAGCACTCACTGACTATAAAATGTAACCAGAAAAGGGGATGGTTGGCGTGTGTATTCTAATGAGAAAATATGATGATGATTTTTAGAGACAGGGTCTTGTTCTGATACCCTGGCTGGAGTACAGTAGTGAGATCATGGCTCACTTCAACCTTGAACTCCTGGCCTCAAGCAATCCTCCTGCCTCAGTCTACCAAAGTACTAGGATTACACATGTGAGATACTATGCCACGCCAAGATAGCTTTTAAACGTAGATCATTGTTTAACTCTTTCTTGAAATGTTCCATGTGGTTTATGCCATTTAACTATTTTAAGAACCCATCTCTTAGCTTTTGTTTCTATGATTCAACAATCAAGGCATTATTGCAAAACTTCTTATCTGTTCCCACCATTTACTATGTAATCTTGGACAGAACATTTTATCTCTCTGAACCTCATTTTTTGCTTCTGAACAAAAACTGGTTTAACTGGGTGATCTTTATTATTTTCATCCAATTCTGAAATTTTAAGTTTCCAGTGCTTCTCACTGGAATGAATAGAAAATACCCCCTTGTCACAAATACTTAGGAAGATGTAAGATTCCAGTACCACACTGATGTGGTACTTTGGGAGGCCGAGGTGGGTGGATCACAAGGTCAGGAGTTCAAGACCAGCCAGGACAATATGGTAAAACCCTGTCTTTACTAAAAATACAAAAATTAGCTGGGCATGGTGGCATGTACCTGTAATCTGAGCTTCTTGGGAGGCTGAAGCAGAAGAATTGCTTGAGCCTGGAAGGCGGAGGTTGCAATGAGCTGGGATCACACCACTGCACTCCAATTTGGGTGACAGAGCAAGACTCTTGTCTTGGGGGGGGAAAAAAAAAAAGCTTCCGGTACCATTCCGTGCCTACAGTTATCTTGTATGAAATAAGCATGGCCATATCTAGATATAACTACACAAAGCAACATCCCACTAAAAGAAGATTTAGAAGATGATGTAGAAAACAGGAAGTGACCCAACTGAATTAACCCCGTATTACAAAGGGGAGCAGGTGTGGGTTCTGGACTGGTTTATCCTGTTGGTTGCTGATAGAGGCATACACTATCCAGTGTTGGATGATATGATGGTATGAGTAATACTTGAAATTCTTAGGGAAGGAGAATGGTTTACAGATTTCAGAAACTGATTTCAACTGAATGGGGTTCAGGAGGCCTGAATTTTCTCACCCTAGCTTGCTGTGGTCTTAGTGCTACTATGTCTATCCTGAGTTATGGTCTAAGGTGAAGATGTCCAAACTCTGAACCTGGTCTCCTCCTCCTGTTCCCTCCTCAAGCCCAGCTCCTTGACCTGCCTGCCCAAGGTTTCTGGATCTGGGATGTTGCCCTCATGTTACTGATTAGGTTCTCAAGCCTAGGGGCTCTGGTCTGCAGACCCTGGCTCCCTGGGACTGTGCCCAAATGCTACTCCCTGCACATCTAGATTCTTCTCTCCCCCAGCTCGCAATACAATTCTGAAATCTTTCTCCTAGTCATCTAAGATTTTCTGGCTGCCGCCATATTTCCAGATGCTCACAGACACATCGAGCCTCTAACAGGTCACCTGCAAGGCCCCTGCTTCTGGCCTCCTGCTCTACCCTGCTGCAGTAAGATGCCCGAGCCCAGGATTTTGAGACCAGCCTGGACCACATAGTGAGACCCCATCTCTACAAAAAAGACAAAAATTAGCCAGGCGTGGTTGGCATGTGCCTGTAGTCCCAGCTACTCAGGAAGCTGAGGTTGGAGGATCACTTAAGCCCAAGAGTTTGAGGCTGCAATGAGCTATGATTGTACTACTGTACTCCAGCCTGGGTGACAGAGTGAGACCCTGTCTCTACAAATAAAAAAGACAAAAGAAAGTAAGCTCTCTATAACTAGTAATTGGATGATTGAATTTTCCTTTTCCTAATGAATTATGAGTCCAAAAAAGCCGGGATCCTTGTACTCCAACCTTCCCTTTTTTCAACTCAGTTTATGTAACCAATGGGCTGTGCATCCCCTATCTTTGTTTCCTAGAATTTCTGGGATGAATTTTAAGAAGGAAAGGGAAACTTCTGAAGAGTACGGGATATAATGACAAACCACACAATACATTCATTTACCAGTTGACCTGCAGATAATCGGCTCCCTTGGTCTGTATCTGAAGTGGCACAGAGGGAGCTTTTTCTAATGTCTGATTTTGACAGTCGCCAAATTAGTAGTAACCAGTTTTTACCCCCAAATCAGCCATAGTCAGAATTGGCTCTGTTGCCCTGGGATTCCCGATTACAAATCCCCAAGTATTTGCCTCCCATTTGGACCAGGAGACATGACAAACCCAGCTCCCTCTGTAATGAACTCCACCTGTCTCCCAGCTAGGACAGGCAATGCCCTTGCCACGCAAGCTCCCCCACACTCTGTCCTCCTCAGTCTAAATCAGCTTTGGCTTTTCTTCAACTGGAGGGATGTTTCTTGAGGACATCTTCCCACCAATGGAGTCCAGGTCCTGGGAGCCCTCCATGGCCCTGCACCTCAATAATCAAACAGAATGGCAAATGCCTTGTCTTCCAGGGGTGCCCTTCCAATGGTGTGGCAGCGCTAGAGAACAGCTTCCCAACCAGGCCACACCCTGCTGCTCCCGGCAGCCCCGCATGCCAGGGCTGTGATTGTGACATAGCTTCATTTGAGGCTAATAAAGAACAAGTTATGCCCTCTTGCCCCGGGGTGACTGTGGAGGCTGGAGAAGGTTTTTGAAGGAGCACAGTCCTACTTCTCTTCCCAGAGCAATGCCCGCCTTTCTCAGACTGTGACCTTCCCCAAGGCAGCCCTGCCCTGACCCTCCTCCCCTACGGTTCCATAGGGCATTTTTCTAGAATAGTAAACAAGCCAGACACAGCCGAGGAGACACTGAGGGTGACTACTGCAGAGGGCATGTTCGAAGGATCATGCACAGTTTGAAAGGCACCTTTGCAGACAGGAACGAACATATTCTGTATGTTGAATAAAATCTCCCATCAAAACCTCCCAACCAACTGGCACCGTCCCCATCGTTTTTGGCAGCAACAGCAAAGCACTGAGCCCTGCCAGGAGAAACAGCTTTGAATTAAAATATAAAGCTAATCAGAATATGGATCACACAAAGCTGCCAGCTCTCTGATGTGTGTGGGGAGTAAAATACCCCTGCCCTGCTAAGAAACTGCCCAAGGTCATTATCTCTAATCAGTAGTAGTTCTCAGAAACAGTATCAAGTCTTTCTTTTAAAAAAGCAAGTATTTCCACCTGCTGTCCCCTCCTACTCAAATCAAATCACTTTCAATGTAGCATGCTGGAATTCTGCATGAGAGCCAGCTTCCAGGGCTTTGATCCCAAACGGAGCCCCAATACTGCTGGTCATTGCACAGCGGCTGGAAGGTGTGGCCAAGTGCCTTAGCTGTTCCTGGCTCACTGTGTCAGCAGGTTCTCCTTCCTTGTTAGATTTCTCAGGTGGGACTAGAGAGCAGAGAAACGGGGCGGAGGGGCGAGGTGGGTAACCAAGGAACAAAACGAACAGGCTGGGGACTCACCCTAGGCCATAGCTCACTCCCGCAGACCTTCCAATCCATCTGGAGCTGGCCATGTGATGGGTCATGGTCACAGGCAACGACAGTCATATGAGCCCTGAAGCTGGCTACTTGCTGGCTGGATCCCTGGGCAAGCTCTTCAACATTTCTGATCCTCATTTTCTGCACCTGGAAAATCAAAGTAATGACATTATCTAGCTTAGAAGGTTGGGGTTATGAATATAAGGTTCCTAGCTATGATCCCGACTTCAAAAACCTGTAAAGCCTCCCAACTGCCTGGGCGGGGTACCAACTCCATATTACTGAGCCTGGAATGTAAGGCAGAAATGACCCATTAAATTTCACCCTTCTAGTAACCCTTCTCCTCAGATAAAGTTTTCAGAATGACAAAAACAACAGTGTTCCCAGTGGTTTCATAATCTTTATTGTATTGTCCATAATGGCCATCTGATTATTTCCAAGCAGTAGTGGGCATACCAAGAAGCTTAACAGACACTGTCAGATGCACAGTTGTACGTGAGGAATTGTGTTGAATACTAATAACTAAATACCTACCGTGTACCTGACATGTCCTAAGTGCTTCGTACATATGAACCCATTTAATCTTTAAAACAATTGTGTGATATACAAGGGATTGCATCCATCACCCTGAATGAGGAGACCAAGGTACAGAGATGTCGAGGGACTCCTTTAAGATCATGTAAGTTGCAAGTGAAATAACTGGAATTTGAACCCAGATTGCCTGGCTGGGAAAACTGATATCAGCTACTATACTGCACTGAACCTTGATTAGGTACAATTAGATAAGAGGATTTTTCCTGAAACAAAGACATTAGTAAAATTAGTTTCTGGGTAGCTATTTTCCTAGGCCTGATCTTCATCACGGATGTGGAAAGGGGCAGTCGACCACATTTACAAATACAAAGAGGGGCTAGGAAGTAGATGAATGCAGAAAAGACAGAGCCCAGGGAGCCCAGGTATGTCACTTGGAGGCAATGATGTGTTGATAAATATTTAACGATGGACCAAACCTAGGGGCCTTGGCGGGGATGGGGGGGGGGGCGTTGGTGAGGATGGCTGATTTGCAGCATGCAGCATTTGCCAGTTGCCAGTTTCCATGGTGTAAATATTACCACCAGGATGGAATTCAAGCTACCAGCCTGTCAACACAGACTGAGGACTGGCTCCCACAAGGCTATACCAGTACACCGCTGCCTGGAGAAAACCCCCATATATTAGAGAGCCCAGTTCAGTAAAATGGCCTGCAGTGGTCACTGGGCAATTTAGGGATAGGAACAGAGAGAGTAGAGACTTACTGCTTCCTCAGCATCATCCTTGTGCATGTGCAATGGGACTGGGTTCTTCAAACCATTGTTCCGGTACAGCTTTCCTTTGCTGAGTTTAAATTCCAGCCTCCGAATTCTAATGTTTTGGCGGGCCCTTCTACAGCCCATCTGGTATACACGTCTTGGCAGGCAATGGGGTATTCTCCTCTAGCACGTTGTTGAAGAGGGCCTCTACCCTTTGATAAAACTGTTTTACCTGAATAAGCTTTAAAAAAGAAAGGCAGGCCATAGTTTAATATTATGCTGTTTCATCTGCTCTTCAGCTACTCTCCACAACTTTAAAAAAAAAAACACACACACACACACACACAATTCTTCGCTACACAGCCATGAAAAAGAACAAAATCATGTCTTTTGGAGCAACATGGATGGAATGGGAGACTATTATCCTAAGCAAATTAACACAGAAACAGACAGTGAAACACTGCATGTTCTCACTTATAAGTGGGAGCTAAATGATAAGAACCCATGAGCACAAAGAAGGGAACAAAAGACACCAGGGCTTACTTGAGGGTGGACTGTGGGAGGAGGGTGAGGATTGAAAAACAATAGGTACTGCGCTTATTACACAGGTGACAAAATAATCTGCACACCAAACCCCAGCAACACACATTTTAACCATGTCACGAATCTGCATAGGTAACCCCTAAAAAGTTGGGAAGAAAAAAAAACCCAATTCTTACCTCCGTGTTGGGCATCTGTGATATGCAATTTAAACAACTACAAATGGCTGATGAGCCCAGAGTATAGTGTGGATGGTGCCCAATTCCACAGTCAAAATATTGAATTGCCACTGCCAGCCTTGATAGAAATGCATCTTCCTGGCCAGGTGTGGTGGCTCATGCATATAATCCCAGCACTTTGGGAGACCAAGGTGGGCAGATCACCTTTGGTTGGGAGTTCAAGACCAGCCTGACCAACATAGAGAAACCCCATCTCTACTAAGAATACAAAATTAGCTGGATGTGGTGGCACATGCCTGTAATTCCAGCTACTCAGGAGGCTGACGCAGGAGAATCCCTTGAACCTGGGAGGTGGAGGTTGTGGTGACTTGAGATCACACCATTGCACTCTAGCCTGGACAACAAGAGTGAAACTCTGTCTCAAACAACAAAAAAATGAAATGCATCCTCCTGACACTGGGAGGGTATGGGCGAGAGCATGCAGGTCAGTCACCACAAATCCATCAGAACCACGGCAGAGACAGGCCAGTTCCCAAATCACTAGTATCATCAGAGCATGTGAAAAAATATATATTTTTGAGACCGTGTCCCACTCTGTTGCCCAGGCTGGAGTGCAGTGGTGCAATCAGGACTCGCTGCAAACTCGACCCCCTGGGCTCAAGTGATCCTCCCACCTCAGCCTCCTGAGTCGTTGGACTACAAGTATGTACCACCACACCTCATTTTGTAATTTATTTTTTGTCTCACTATGTTGGACAGTCTCATCTCAGACTCCCAGGCTCAAGCGATCCTCCTACCTTGGCCTCCCAAAGTGCTGTGATTACAGGCATTAGAGACAGTGCCCAGCCACGCATGACAATATTAAGCACAGAATTGAAAGGAGCCTTGGAACTCATTTCTCAATTTCCTCCAATGAAAACAGACAAGTTAATGTATAAGTAATTCAGATTTTTCATTATGGTTCTATTCTCCCTCTAGCCCAGGGGTTCTTAACCAGGGCTGATTTCCCCTCTAAGGACATTTGAACACGACTGGAGACACTGGTTGTCAAAATTGGGTGGGTTGTCAAAACTCCTGGCCTCTAGTGGGTAGAGGTGAGGCATGTGGTTAAACATGCCACAGTACACAAGACAGCCCCCCACAGCAAAGAGTCATCTAGCCTAAAAAGTCAGTAGTGCCAAGGCTGAGAAACTCTGGTGCATGCACAAAATATGGTTTCCAAAAACTAAACAAAATGGCATTCTTACTCACAAAGCAGTCATGTGCATAAATCGTATTTTATTAGCTGTGCAATACCACCTTCCATCCGTGACCTGTGTTTTAATTAAATTTTATAAACTACCAGTACAAATCAATACAATGCATTTTTTTTTTTTAACACACCAACAGCTTGAATGTTCTTGAAGCTTTTAAACAACGAGTTTACTGTGGGCAAACAGAAGGCAAGGACTCAAAGAGATAATTAGCTCATGCATCTGGTGCTGGCTAATAAATAATTTTCACGTGAATGTAGAAACCACTGTATGTGAACTGTATTTATTTTTTAAAAATAGTTTGAAATGGTAATAAAATGCAATTTTCAGAAGCATCTTGGTGATCGAGAACTGCTTAATTTAAAAAATAATTAAGTTACTTCCACCTGGCCTGGGGTGGATGAACATGTAGCAAAAACTTCCATCCTACTAGATTCTGGCAGATGGATTGATCTTTCACAAAATATATATATATTTTTTTCTCCATTTCTTCTATGGAAGCCAGAAGCCAGAAGAAGCACCCTGCTTTGAAAAGAGATTGTTTGGTTCACTCGGTATGCTTTGGTTTAAACAGGTAAGAAAGTAGTCCCCACTTCTGAGGAGAAAATGTGTTTTCTGACTTTTAGATACATTGCAGTATCACCAGTCTGAATAAGTTTCCTTTTCTGTCAAGAAGAAAGTGTCATTTTCTTTTCCTCCAGTGTTCAGTCACTCCTTCGAAAATACTCTTCAGATAAAGTATCTATATGTCTCTTATCAGTAGCCAAACCACTCCTTCCATATGACTCAAGGTCTGACATTCAGTGCCTGACAGAATCAGCATTTGGCATGTCCTTGGATATGGAATCAGTCTGATGCTTTGAACTTTAAGATCTCATGATGCATCTGTAAGTGTCTTCTTAAAAAATATAAAAATGTAGGCTAACTTGTGCTCTCTTGTAAGGCTTGCAAAGTGGTAATTAAATAAGCAGACTATAACTCACAAGCGAAAACAAAGTGCATTTTTAAATAAAAGAAACAAATGGAGACAGTTAAAATGACAACCAAAAAGATAAGCAGATGATTTTTGGTTAATCTTGGGGGAACACCACACGATATTTACAATTTCTTTTCTGGTCCATTTGATTTTCCTTAACGTACTCAAAAGGATCATAATAAGCATATCTCCTCTCCTGGTTTCTGATATTTTAGCATTCCTAGAAACTGAAGCCCTGCTGATAGGATCATTCACAGGAGGAGAAATACACTTGCCTTTCATGCTAATGAACTTTTTACAAAACTGCTCTTAAATCATGAATATTTCAATGAGCACACAAAACAATAGGTCTCAGTTTGCTGTAAACACCATCAAAACCTCCACACCATCAGGCTTATAATCTCACAAGCATTCTGCCTTTGTCAGACACTTCACAGGGTGCAACTGGGCTACTTTTGCAGGCAAAGTGGAGATTTTGATTTCTGCTGTAAAAAGCCAAACAGAGAGAAAATGGAGGCTCTCTCATCTCTGACACATCAGTCTAATTCTTTTGTCACCCTTTATGGAAGTCTTTTGTTTGTTGCAGCTACTTTCGGTAATTGCAAAAGGAAAGAAAAAAATGTCTCCCCGATCCGTCCCTGGGAGCTCATGTTTTTTTGCTACTTGTCTTCTGTTTCTGTTTGCGGAGGTGCGCCTCTATCTCGTGCCTGAATACCAGCATGCCCAACTGTCCATGGGATGCCTCGTTCATAGCCTTGGACTGCATACACATCTTGTACTGCTCTGGGGTCAGCTCATCCATGCAGCGCTTCTCATGCCAGAGGTGGAAGAGTCCTCGCACGGGTGTCCGCACCACTATGAGGTTGCTGTGAAGATACTTGCGGTAAAGGTGCACATCCTCTCCGCCCCAGCCTTTGATGTCCAGATCAAACCCACCTGTCAGGAGAGAACACACTGTTGAATCATGCTGCACTGACCTGCTTTGCTTCCCTGAGCTGCACAAGCACCAAACTTTTCATTAAGACATGATTGGGGGAATGTATGCTTCACCACCTCTCCGAGGTAGGAGAGTATCCACCAGAGTCAGAGGCCCTGGGAATTCCCCAACAAAGACAACTATCATGGCGGACAGCACCAACTTCTTGAGATGACAGGACCTCCAATAAAATTCCAAGCATTTGCCTGCATTAAAGAGTTATCAGCGATGCTAATGAGTAGCCCCAGACTTGTGGTTAATGGGTATAAAAATAAGATTTAGCATTCAGTAGCACAATAAGATGACTTACTGCAATTATCAATCAGCTATTGTTAACAATAATTTATTGCATATTTAAAAATAACTAGAGGAGTGATATATATGATACATATTTGAGATGATGGGTACCCCCAATGATCCTGATGTGATGATTACACATTTTATGCCTGCATCAAAACATATGTATCCCATAAATATATGTACCTATAATAATTAAAACTAGAGCTTGAAAACTCTGAAGGCAAATTCGTATGCTTCTGTTAGGATGTGGTCTTCTCGTGTCATTGCAAACAGAAAAGAAACCAGGGGCTTCCGGTGTGATGGAGTGAAAGAGGGTCTCAGTGTGAAGAAGTCACATCCCCTCAAAGCACTATTCATTTCATAGGCTACAGTGGTCCTGAAAAGCTGCATGTGATTCCACAACAGGCTGGTGAAATCAGTGATCTTTTTTTTCTCCTTTTTTTCCCCCATTTATTTATTTATTTTATTGCATTTTAGGTTTTGGGGTACATGTGAAGAACATGCAAAATTGTTGCATAGGTACACACATGACAGTGTGATTTGCTGCCTTCCTCCCCATCACCTACATCTGGCATCTCTCCCCTTGTTATCTCTCCCCAGCTCCCCACCCCCCACCGTCCCTCCCCTATTTCCCCCCAACTGACCCCAGTGTGTAGTGCTCCCCTCTCTGTGTCCATGTGTTCTCATTGTTCAACACCCGCCTATGAGTGAGAACATGCAGTGTTTGATCTTCTGCTCTTCTGTCAGTTTGCTGAGAATGATGGTTTCCAGGTTCATCCATGTCCCTACAAAGGACCCAAACTCATCGTTTTTGATGGCTGCATAATATTCCATGGTGTATATGTGCCACATTTTCCCTGTCCAGTCTATCGTTGATGGGCATTTGGGTTGGTTCCAGGTCTTTGCTATTTTAAACAGTGCTGCAATGAACATTCGTGTGCACGTGTCCTTATAGTAGAACGGAAATCAGTGATCTTAAAGGGACTGGCCTCACAGTCAATCCTGAAGTTATACTCAAAGAAAAACCTCATGTCAAGGCAACAGTTTCTTGAAGTGAAAATCTTTAGAAAAATTTTAACTTTTTATTATTTTGAGACAAAGTTTCGCTCTGTCGCCCAGGCTGGAGTGCAGTGACACAATCTCAGCTCACTGCAACCTCCACCTCCTGGGTTCAAGCAAGTCTTTTGCCTCAGCCTTCAGAGTAGCTGGGATTACAGGCATGCACCACCATGCCTGGCTAACTTTTCTATTTTTTAGTAGAGATAGGGTTTTGCCATTTTGGCCAGGCTGGTCTTGAACTCCTGGCCTCAAGTGAGCCGCACACCTCAGCCTCTCAAAACACTGGGATTACAGGCATGAGCCACCACACTCAGCCTAGAAAAAAATTTAAATGTCCTATTTGGAAAGCTGATTTTCACATAACCATTTAGGAATATTTCTCTTATGTGTGTCCAAGAACATTTGCTGTGAGCTGCTGAATGTCTGCCGGGCACCCACCACACAGAGACTGGCATCCCAGGTGCTCTGCTCCTTCTAATAGGACTTGACTTCAACTTGTTTTTTTCTTTAACTTGGTGATTTCCTTGGGGATTCTGTAGTCCTTGCAGTTCACTTTATCTCCAAGCAAAACAAACATAGGGTTACCGCTCCTCCCTGATTTTAAAATGAGACGTGTTAGCGCTTGGACCTGAGGGGTAGTTGCCTAGAAGCCAGTGAGACCAGCAGCTCCCAGGGGACCTGGGGATGGGACGCTCCAGGCCACCCTGAGGGCAGGGTCCCTCTGACTCCATAGAGTCTCTGGGTCCAGTCTGAGCACCTGCACCTCAGATCAAGGTTTCTGCCCTGTTCATTCAAACCCAGGTCATGCATAATCCGCAACTCTATCCCTTCAGAGATCCAAGAGTCAGTATTACTATGGAAAGGTGAGGTGGCATTTCCAAGGGGAACAGGGGGCTCTATATTCTCATCCTGACTCTACCTCCCACCTGCTGTGAGGCCTGGGAGGGTCTCCTAACCTGAATCCCAAGGGCGTTTTTTCTCTGAGCTCTAGAAATCCACAGGCATGTGCATGTGCATATATGCATGTGTATGAGTGTGTGTGCATGTGCACATCTGTGTGTATGGGTGTGTGTGCATGTGCACATCTGTGTGTATATGTGTGCATGTGCACATCTGTGTGTATGAGTGTGTGCATGTGTGTATATGCATGTGTATGAGTGTGTGCATGTGCACATCTGTGTGTATGTGTGTGCATGTGCACATCTGTGTGTATGAGTGTGTGTGCATGTGCACATCTGTGTGTATGAATGTGTGTGCATGTGTGTGTGTTGACAGCAACTGCACATTCAGTCAGAGCTTAAAGTCACATCCGGAATTTTGAAGGTTAGCAGAGAGAATTTTGGGTATTTTTGAGTATGTGTTTCCCCCCCAATTCCCCTATTTCCCTCATACTCTTACTGGGAAGCTTAGGATGTTCTATAGGAGGCCAGGCGCGTTGGCTCACTCCTATAATCCCAGGACTTTGGGGGCTGAGGCTGGTGGGTCACTTGCAGTTAGGAATTCAAGATCAGCCTGGCCAGCATAGTGAAACCCTGTCTCTACTTCAAATACAAAAATTAGCCAGGCATGGTAGCATGCACCTGTAGTCTCAGCTACTCAGCAGGCTGAGCCAGGAGAATCACATAAACCCAGGAAGTGGAGGTTGCCGTGAGCCAAGATAGCACCACTGCACTCCAGCCTGGGTGACAGAGCAAGGCTCTGTCAAAAAAAAAAAAAAAAAAAAAGGGATATTCTACAGCAGAGGACAGAGAGGCCGGGACCCTCCTGGGAGGAGGCCCTGGAGGAGTTGCTGCAAAGCTGCCGGTATGCAATAAGCAGCCTTTACTCTCAGATTGTGTCTTATCTGGGGTGACTGAGAGGTGCTGGTGGAGATTACAGGGGCTAAAATGCCACCCACCTCCAAGCCTCCTCTTGGTCCAGCCCTTAGTCTACGACATAAGGAATAGCATTTCGTTTTTTGTGGTGTGAGGTCTTGCAATGTTGTCCAAGCTGGTCTTGAACTCCTAGCCTCAAGCGACCCTCCCTCCTCCAACCTCCCAAAGCACTGGGATTACAGGTGTGAGCCACTGTGCCTAGTCTGTAATAGCTTTTTTTTTTTTTTTTTTTAAAGAAAGGCAATGACACCACCTTCCCCACCAGAGTCCTTGGAAACCCAACTTGATTCCTTTAAGGCCTGCATGGGCCAGTGGCCTCTGGGTGGCAGTAGAGAGGCAGATTTGTCCTACCTATATTGATGAAGTCTGACCGATACTGACACGTCATCCCAAATCCAAAGTCTCTCCAAAATCCAGTTTCCTTCTTTATGACCTGCAAAAAAAAAACACTGTCATTTCAGGGGGAAGTTTAGGGTGGACAAAAATAGAGTGTTCCCAAACTCCTGTGAACCACTGTGGAGTGTGGGGTGATAAACAGCTCATCCCATCAGTGATAAACAGCCTCAACTGGTGCAGGAAATGCAGACGGATTTGAGTCCTTGCAGAGTCAGGAATACAGTACACATACCAGTCCCAAAACAAGGCCTTGTGATTTCTGGCACCTCTAGCTGGAATGTTTCTAGGGTATAGGTAGGAAAACACACACACACACAAACACACACACACACAATCAAAAACAAACTGGGAGAGTAAGTTTTTGTTTGAGCAGTGCCATGGAAAAGCCACCTACGTGCCTGGCCTCACACCAGTGCCAGTGAGAACTGGAAGCTTGGGCCCCTCACACAAGCCTGGGCAGTGATCCAGAAAAGGGCTCAGGAAGTTGAGAAAAGGGATAGAGAACAACTCCGAATTCAGCTGCCCTGGCACGGTCCACACACAGCACTCCCTCAGGGAATAAAAAGAAATATCTGAGAGACTTCAGTATGTTACCAGCTCTCCAGCTCTGCTAACTCTCGTTTGCTGAGGGAAAGGGCACTGAAAGTCCAGGTTCTGAAGAAAGACTCTGTCCATTCATCTTCATGCTATTTTAATACCAAACTGCTCTCAAAAGCATCTACCGTGGTGCCAGCCTGCAGGGCTGTGGAGAGGCCATCCAAACACTGCCCAGTCTCTTACTCTGCAAGTAAATTTCCAGTATATTTGCTGAAACAGCAAGGCTTCTAAAAAACCCATGTGTACGTATGTATACACACGTATTCAGCTGAGGAAACTCTAGGAACAGTTTTGAGATTTTAGTTGTTTTTCATAATTCATTCTTGCGGTTAACATAAGGTGCCTGGATGAAAGGCCAACCCTGCAGCCCCTCCCCTTGGAAAAGGCAGAGAGGGCAGTGGCAGTTTTCTCTCCCCCACCATGGATTTCCATATTTTTTGGGGGGGGACATCTGGCTCTGTTCATTTAGAAACAGTGCATGACGTGGGAGAAGCACCAGAGTCTTGTCTCAGTGTGACCACTGGCTTGCTTTTTCACTTCAGGCAGGCTCCTTCACTTCTTCATGCATCTATTTTTTTCCCTATATAGGGAGGAGGCTGAGCTCACTCATCCCTTAGGTGTCTTTCAGCTTTCACATCCACGTGTTTGTCATATCACTCTTATTCCCTCTTCCTAACGTTTCACAGCAGGCTAATTATACTGGATAAATGCCCTGCACAAGGGCTGATGAATCTGAAACATTCTTTTACTCTGTAACGTACCTGTCTTAATTTCACTACAACCTAGATGTCACTTCCATGATGTCACTTACATTCCCCAGGGAATGGGGACGTGCTGCCACTCTCCCTTGCAAGCATCAGTACTGCCCAAGGAAAGTAAGGACCAAGAGAGGTTCTGTTGGTTAAAGCTGTCCCTAGCAAGTATTCTCAGTATCATTATACAGTGTCTCCCAAATGACAAGGCAATTTCATTAGTATCAATTGGAAAGATTTTGCAAGGCAGGAAAGTCTGGAAAAGTCTCCATGGAGTAATTTTTTTTTTTCTTTTTTTGAGATGGAATTTCACTCTGTTGCCTGGACTGGAGTGCAATGGTACAATCTGGGCTCACCGCAGCCTCTGCCTCCCAGGTTCAAGTGATTCTCCTGCCTCAGCCTTCCGAGTAGCTGAGATTACAGACATGCGCCACCACGCATATCTAATTTTGTATTTTTAGTACAGACAGGGTTTCTCCATGTTGGTCAGGCTGGTCTCGAACTCCCAACCTCAGGTGATTTACCTGCCTCCATCTCCCAAAGTGCTGGGATTACAGGCATGAGCCACCACACCCAGCCGGAGTAATTGTTTAAAAATGGATTTTGTTCTATCCCTACCTTTCCAGGTACACGGTTTCTGTTACAGCAAATGACCTAATATTCCTTCTGCTGGCAAACTAGACAAATTCCCCAAGCTTATGGGTAAAAATAAAGTCAAAGAGAAATGCCATTATTCAAACTTGAAATATTTGGCTGAGGTATACAAGGAATTTAAAAAGGAACACGTCAAACAGGAAAAACAATGGGCCAAGGCTTGCGAAGACAGACAAGAGGGAGGCATCCAGAGGCTGGGCTGCATTGTTGTAGGGCCTGACAAAGTTGAACAAGGTGAACGGTGACCCTTACATGGGAACAGCATGACAGAGGCAATCTGGCTTATGAGCTGGGGAGTGAGCTATGTAAACATTCATTAAAGTTGGTTTGGAAGTTGGCAAGCCACAAAACGCCACTATCTGAAGAGCTTGTTGAAATTTAGCCCTTTGTGGAAACTGATTAGATCATGCCCACAGCATTTAATTTCAGGGCAAGACGGAGTTCCCTTAGTGGATGTTCCACCACCCACAGCTGTGCTAGGTCACTAACTGGAAGGACGCTCTCAATGGGCAGTCTGGCCGAAGTGTGTGCCCTCAAGCACACAACTGATTACATCACGTTCCCATGCAAAGCCCTGTAACAGTTCCCTAATCCTCAGCCCTATCTAAGGCCCATTTTCTGCCCCTTGGCCTCTCCATGTTCACAGATCTCCAAGGCCAGATACTTGCAGTCCCTCCTGCCTGGGTCACCCTTCGCCCACTCATCACTAAGCTCTGCTCCAATGTCACTGCTCAGATGGTCGTCCTGATCCTCCTGGTCCGTGTTATGCATCTGCCCCCCAATGCCACATACTGCACTGTCTCCCTGGTTTGTTTTCTCTATAACAATTCTGTCTTCTGAAATGATCCTGTTGATGCATCTGCTTCTCTGTTTGCTCTCTTCAGCCATCAGCCATGGTGAATGTAGGCTCAGGACTTCATCTTGTTCACGGCTGCATCTCCAGCACACAGAACACACTGTCCAGCACACAGCAGGCACTCAGTAAATACTTCCTCATTGAATGAACCAAGAGCAGTCATAGGGCAGAGATGGTGCCAAGCCAGTGGAAATGGACACGTTGCAAGTAGGAGGTGCTTGCCAGCAAGTGGCCCAACAAAGGCCTGGGAAATGCAGTGGTAAGAACCTCTCAGAATCCTGTGGTTCTCGACCCAGGGACAAAAATGTTTTCAGCTCCCTGGAGTCTAAGGCCAAGTGTGTGACTTCTTAGAAACTTTGCTGCAGGTGTGAATAGCTTCACCACTCTGCTCAAGCACTGACAAGTGATGCACCAATGATGTCTGCTATGACAGAGGGGGAAGGAAACCTAAGATGAAGGGGACACTTTTAAAAGAAAAACATTTCTTCCTCCTATCCTGGATTTCACTGATCTGTTTTCAAGTGCTATCCTAATTTTATTTCTTTTGAGACGGAGTCTTACTCTGTCGCCAGGCTGGAGTGTAGTGGCACGATCTTGATTCACTTCAACCTCTGCCTCCTGGGTTCAAGTGATTCTCATGCCTCAACCTCCTGAATAGCTGGGAATACAGGCATGCACCACCATGCCCAGCTACGTTTTTTATATTTTTAGTAAAGAAGGGACCATGTTGGCCAGGCTGGTCTCAAACTCCTGACCTCAGGTGATCCATCTGCCTCAACCTCCTAAAGTGCTGGGATTATAGGCATGAGCCACGGCGCCCAGCCTGCTATCCTCATTTTCTAAAATGTCCTCTGATGGCTGGCCTCCTCTCAACTCTCTCTGCAGCACCTGCTCCCTCCCCACCTGAGATCCCAGCAGAGTACTACAGGGCATGAATATACCACAAAAGGACAGTTGTCAGCCCTGCTTTCTCACAGGAAGTTTCCAGAGCCACAGCTCTGTGGGCGATTCACGTGACTGGGAAGATTATTTTCTATTAGGACTAAAACACAAAGCACAAATCGGCATCTCTCCCCCAAGATGTGGGAAGACAGTGGCCCTGCAGCTGCATGTGAGCTGGGGCTGCGGTCAGCGCCCTTCTGGTTTAATGGTGCCGACTTGGACACCTGCCCATGAAGCAATCTGGACCCTAAAATAAAATAAACAGCAACTACTCAGGCGGAGCAGCACCTTCTCTAAATCAGAGAGTCTCCCAGGCACCTAGGCTGTGTCTGGCCCATCTTACATTCATAGCAACGCCTGTGAGCAGGGCCAGATTATGGGCAAATGACCCATGCAATTCCACAGGCCCCCATGCATGAAAGGCCCCATACCTGCTGTCAGCATCATGAAATTCATAATACTTTTTGAACAGGGGCTCAAATTTTGATCTTGCACTGGGTTACGTCAATTACATAGCAGTTTCTGGCCTGGGAGGAGCAGACTCCCTGAGCTGCAGTGCTGTCTGTGTCCAGGCTGGGTGCCCCATGCCCTAGGCTGTCCAATCCTTACTATCTGGGCCCTCAGGGCTCAGTGATCATGCTGCACAGGGTGCCAGGAGGGCACCATGCCCTCTTCTTGTGGCCTCTTGGTATGAAGGTAGAATGACTTGCCCAAGATCATTCAGCCAACATAGCTAAGCCCAGAACAATTCTAACACTCTGGAGACAGTTCCATTTCTTGAGAAATAAGGTATTCTAGAGCCATAGCTTTCAAAGAATCATTTAAGAACAGACTCAAAGGCCATCTCCTCCCAGATGTATTTGCATTCACTACAGTTTCCTGTAAGTCTTTTATAGGTGTCTCCATAAAAACACATTGTGTTTCCTAAGGGAATCTTGCTAGACAAGGAGTCATCCAGGTTCTCCCATGTCCAGGAGCCTATCATCTAAAACTAGATACCCTTGTTGTCCCCGAAAGCACTTTGAGGGAAAAGAATGTATCCCCTGTTGCCCAGCATCCTCAGCCCAGGTGCAGCTGCATGGCATGGCACTCGAGTTCCCATCCCTGCCACTTAGCCACAGAGGGCATCTGACCCTCAATTCCTCATCTGTGAAATGAGAATAATTGCACCTTTTCCCTTATTGACTGTTACGTGAGATAATGTGGGCATGGGGCTCACTTCTGGAAAGGCTCCAT